TAAGTGCTGTAGTTTTTTTTTAGAAAAGAAAGTACAAGCCTCCTTTCACACTAACAGCACAAAGCAGGAACACCATAGAAAGAAAGTGGCCATCACCTCCCTACTAATCGGCCCATTTTACCAAATCTAAGGAGAGGAGTGGACAATTTGCTGTCTATAATAGCGCTGGAAAGAGACAGCTTACTGAGGCGGTGAAAACCCACTCTGTCTGAAATGATCGTGCTGGATCAGCTGTGGCATTGCGCGTCTTCCAACCGTGAAGAGCTGCAGGCCGAGCGCCGCTATAATTAAAGCGCTTATTGATTAGACTTTACGCGCTCCTGCGTCCTCTGGACCGTGAGCCGGAGGCGCAGGGCGGGTCAGTCACTCTCACTATGCTAATGTCTATGGTAATATAGCCCGCCGGTTTAAGTCGATTATTGACGCTTTTCCTAAATGGACGGTTGATCCACAATTGAAGCTTTGTGTGGAGGGGTCAATAGCAACGATATTGATACCGGGGCAGGAGGTCAGTTCCATTTCACCTCCACCGGTTTCAGGGAATGAATTGGGAATGACTTAGTTAATTGAAAATATTAATTGGAAAGTAAATGACATTTTTCAACTCCAAGTGGGATTTCTGTCCATCCCCTGGTATTGAGCAGATATATACAAGATCCATCTATTGAGGCCCTGGGGAATATGTCAGAGACACTCATTTGTTGAGGATCAACCTCTCACTGGTTTAATTCAGTCATTTTTATATTTCTTTATGTTTGCACAAGCGGTGGGTGGCGTGTGTGTGTGCTTGTGAAGAGACGGCAGAGATAAAATGAAAAGATCATAACACAATAAAAGTCCTAAGGTAAAATAAAACAGCAAGGCCCAAGAAGAGAGCCGGCCCTACCTCGCTTGCTGAAACAGAGAATAACAATGCTTGATGGTTGATGGACCTGTGGTGGGTGCTGGTGCTTGGGGCAAAGCAGAACATCATGCAATCAGTCTGAGAAAGGTCGGCGTATTGATCGGTGTGTATGGCTCCACTGTTACATATCAAAAACATCTCTGCTCTTCCCAACACTTCTCTCTAGCTCTAAAAATGACCTGAAGTGCACTGCTCTTTACAGCAGTCCATCCCCAGACAGCCGTTCGGTCTGTCACGCTGAGGCTCCAGACTCAAACGCAGACACATAGCTCTTTGTTGCAGAATACCTGGCCTTTATAGAAGTTTTCGGGCTGTTATTCTTACTTGAAGTGAACTTATCAGTATGTGTACACAGACAGAAAAGAGAGGGATGGAGTTAATCAGGTTGTCTGATCATTATAATTCTGTAAAAAAAAAAAAAGAAGACAGACAGAATCACATATCTTTATCTTCCAAAATGAACCAATAAAATTCCACAGTGCTGGATAAAGGATCAAATTAAACCTTGATCTGTCTGGATGTTTTATTAAAAAGAGAGTGCAGTCACAGCCAAATATATCCATCTGATGAGACACTCCTTTAATTACTGCTCTCGTTTGCGCCTTGCCACTCACACTGTGCCTTTGCCTGCAGTGTGTGCGTGTGTTTTCTTTGAACCGTGCACCAACCAGTGATGTTTGTCATATCGGGAAAACGCTCCTCTCTGCCTGAGCCTGATCCTAATAGCCCCATATCTACTATAATAGACTTGCACGGAAGAGTACACAGAGGGCAAAACCATGATTTTGGGCGTGTGAATAGTGCACGAGTGGGTTGTGAATGCAAACCGTGTGATGAGAAAGTTGTGGTTTTGAGGCAGAGGCCCTTTTCTCACTCATCCTCTGTGCATGGCGATAACGTGGGTTTCTGTAAAACATCAAACACATTGAATGCAGCCTTAAAATATGTGTGTGTATGTGTGTGTATGTGTGTGTGTGTGTGTATGTGACATGCATCCATATGTAAATATGTTCTCAAGCATGCCCATGTGTCAATGTACGGGGCCTCGACAATGTGCTTCTCATCCCCTTTTGTGGTCGATATCGGATGAGGATATGAGAGTCAGTATTGATTGTAATTTCCTGCGACGCTACGTTCCACTCTCTTGCTTTATCAGGAGACTAATTCCTATCAGCTATGCTGTCGGCCAACCAACAGCCCAGGCTGCTGCCCAGGACAACAACTAATGAATACGAGAGGAACGAATAATCCAGCGAGGCATTTCTCCTCTGACAAACAGGTTGCCACAGGGATGATAATGATGAGGCTGGGATATTGAGTGTGGAGATGTGTGTGTGTGCTTGCTTGCTCGCATGTGGACCTGCATGCTTTTGTGGGTTTGTGTATGTTCTCAAGTGTGTGTATATTTTGTGCTTGGTAAAGGCATAGAGCAGCCAAGTTTTCTCTGATTTTAATGACTGGACACTTGGGACGACGGCTGTTTGTGTGCCTTGGGATTTGCTGTTGTTGACTGAAGGAGTCAAGGGCATGAAGCTAACATTTGCTTTCCATCCTGACAGCAGGTGGATGGCCAATCAGGTGTTTATTTTGCTGTCATTATTGAGCTGGTATAATGATGTGCTGACTGAGATGTACCACAGGGAGCAGAAACATACTGTAGGTTTCTCTTCCATTTCATTTTTGTCCTGTTTTTTTCTCTGTTTTACACCTGTTGTGTGTCAGTTTTTCTGTAACTCTTTCTTCAGTGGATTTCAATGGATCCTCTTTATGCTGCTGTTTATCTCTCTGCCTCTTTCAATGTCCATTGCTCTCACTTTCTGCTATATATTCCTTTTGCTCTGTTCCTTTCGAGCTGTCACTTAATCCAGCCTCTCTTTCATTTTAAGCTTTAAATTAAGTCCATTATATTGTGAGTTTGCCTGGCTTTACGGTCGGCTAAATGCTGTGTTAAACCTTGAGGATTGACACATGCGTCCTTCTGAATACACCATTCATGTCTGTTCTTTCCTTCATTTGTGCCCTTGAACAACTATAGAAATGTACTTTTTAATACTATTTTGAAACTCCTATATTTTCATATATTTTCTAACCAATTCTTCCTGGTAGTTCAAGTGAGGTGTAAAAATAAAACTGGCTTGTCTCCATTCAAAACTACCGTCTCTTTCATCAAAGGCTGCTCATGTTAAATTTAGACAGAGCTATGTAGGTAATTATGTTAGGTCGCCGAACTCTAAATACTAATTAGGGCTGATACTGCTATTGATATGTGTTTTTTATAACATAAACACTTAATATAATATATAATAACTGTGACCAAGACATACTGAGCTAGCTATTTTATAGTTGAAAGCTAAACCTGACAGTGCTCTTTGGAGGACAAACTATGTAACTAAGCTAGGTTAGTATTGCCATCATTATTTATGGGTCAACGTGATAATACAATAAGCTAAATCTGTAATAAGTTAAATTAACATATCCAGAAATTAAAGGACCAGTTTGTAGGATTTAGTGGCAATGAAGTTGCAGATTGCAACAATTTGAAGAAAGAAACATGGCAGTTCAACATGGCGGCCCTACTCTCACTGTAGATAAAAAACGCTGGTTCTAACCCTTAGTGTTTGTGTTTTCGCTACCTTAGGTCATTATACACTAATGAAAATATACCTATGAATATCATATTCCATTTCTGCCAATGGATCCCTTTTAAATGTTAAACACTGGACCTTTAAGCACAGTGAAATGAATGGTTGGCGAGCTACTGTGGCTGCTGAGCACTAACATGTTAGCTAGCTGGTAACATTCTCATACTAGCCAGCCCATTAGCTATCTTGGCTAAAGCAACAGTCATTTTTGTGGAGCAGTTTATATAAAATTAAATGGTGCAACACAGCTAATGATATGTGATATGATAACTTGCTCCATTTTGGAAAGGTCAAAGGTCAGCACTGTCACTTGCAGATTTGTTTATTTTTGTTTCGGCGAGCAAAGCTACTAATCACAGTAATGCCATTGAAACAAATTTGTCTAGGGTGGATATTTCCTAATTCATTCAGGACCACTTTTGTCAAAATAACTTTATTTCCAAATGTTATATTTAACGGTATGGCTCTGTTCTAGGACCTCCTTGCCCTTCCACATGCATACGTGGAAAACATTAAGACAAGGAAAGCAGCAGCAAACACCCACAGTGTACAGAACAGAGCAAGCATCAATGGCAACAGAAATGATTTGATTAAATCAGATACAGCAAAAAAAGGAGAAGCTGGGGTGGAGGTGGTTTGCAAAGCGACTTGCAGAGGAAGCAGCAAAGATAGGCAGGCTAAAGTGGCTTAAATAAGGCGACCTGAATGATATTTGCCAATTGGATGCTTGGAGGGAATCAGCTGAGCCATCAGCTGATGTGTGTTTAGGATTAGCTGTGATCAGCTAATGTAGCTGGAGAGATGAGCCTGACTTTGTGGCCTGCCTGGACTAACTGTGCTTAATTGGTAAATGCTGATGTGAAACAAGTAAGCTGCAACAAGCCTAACTCTCAGGAAGGTGTCAACTGTCTCAACACACCCAGGCAGTCTCTGGAAAGACCCAAAAACTCAACTGTGTTTGTGTATTATGGAATTTCAAGGTTCAAAGTTCAAGTTGTGTTATTTTGAGTTAAACATGTATTTCTGATAAGAACATGTAATTTGCATATCATCCTTCACAACTGATTAAGAAATTTCCCCAGACCTAATCTAACATAAAATGCGTTGCTGCTTTCAGCTACTCTCAGTGACTTTTAATGTAGCTGCAACTTGTGGCTTTCACATTGTGTGTAAAGGAAAGTGTATCTTTGTGTGTATGTGTACACTATGAGTAGTAGTGTGAGCATTTGTGCTTTTGAATGATGCTACTTGTACTTTGTATACTGTGGGCAGGAATGTGGTGAAGGGTCCGTTTGTCATCTTTGGCTTGTGAAAAATGAACTCATTATTTCCTTTCCCCCCTGTGTGGCCACAGTGACAATTCTCCACTATGACGGGTTAGGGGTGTGATGGGGGAGAAGCGGAAGGGCTTGTGTTTTATAAAAGCCATGATCAACACTTGAACGATCAGAAAGGCAGAGAGAACTTTGCTAATCAGAAAACCACGAATATACACACCATAAATGCGGTGTGAGCAAACGTGGCTTCATTCAGTACTTCTAACTACTCGAGGAAGCAGCAAATTATTTTTCTGTGTGTGATTCAGATCATATACGTTTGTTCTGAGAACTACTACGTTCAGCCATAGAAGGACAAAGCCAAGGGATAATTTTGAAGATGAGAGTCAGCCTGGTGTTATCCGCTCTTCTCTGCTTCACCACATGGATGAGCATGGTCCACGCAAGTGAGTACCACAAAAAAGTACAGGACTTTCGATTGAGTGTTTGACAGGGTAAAATGAAGGGTACTTAATCTTTCTTTCTCTCTTGTTTAGCCCATGGACCAGTGTCAGACTGTTGTATCGGGTGGTCCAACACCAGAGTCCAACTTGACCGAATTGTGAATTATACCGTTCAGTCTGAAGGCGTCTGTCCAATCACAGCCATAAAGTAAGTGGTCCTGCATACTGTAAAGAATTAAGCCATATCTCAACTTAGATGTAGGTTAGGTTCACCCAAATCACGAAAGAAAATCACAAAACAAACACATTTCCTCATTATGCCTAGTGGTAAGTAGCCAGGCAGACAGATCAGTATGTGTCTGTAAGATTCCTGCCACCACAATAGGGGAATTTAAAGAGAATTTAATTTTTGCTGTTAAGAGCAGTGGAAATTTATATATTGAAAATTCAACAGGAACATCTCTTTTCAGAAAGTGTCCCCGACATTCTGGATAATCCAAAACCTTAACTGTCAACAGTTTTCATTGGAACAACTTTTCACTGGAAAAGAGTCCCTATGGATTATTCAGAGTAACAGGGACCCTTTCTGCAAAAGAGACACTGCTGTTGAATTCTTAAAAATGTTTTTAGTACATTGAGCTTAGATATTTTAAAACCAATCTAATCAATCATGCATAGCTAGATTCCACTAAACGTAATAAGGATAGTGTTTGAACATGAATAAACTATCTCTTTAAGAAGTTATTTGTAAAAACAATGTTTAAAAAAGCATTGCAATGCCATTAACAGATCACAATCAATTGCAGATTTCACACAAAGCTTGGAAAGACACTTTGCTCCGACCCGAGCAGTCCCTGGGCAAAAAGAGCCATTAAGAAGGTGGACGGGGAAAAAAAAAAAAGTGGATTGCAAGAGTTGGGACAAAATGAAGACAGAACAACAAGGGACATTACACCAGCAATGTCCACCACATCAAAAAAGGCACCACAGAAGAAAGGTAGAAATGGAAGGAGACGACTGAGGAAAAGGTCCAGGAAAGGGAAGAAGTTGCTGAGCAAACGTATCTGAGGAATTACAAGACAAATAAAAGCTACCAAATATTACTGTTTCCTATTGGACTTGTCCCGCTATATTGCATCAATAGTAAACAAACCCAAAGCAAACAAGCTTTATATATTATTGTACTGATGATTAAATATTCAATATATATTTAAAATATATGTTAACCGTAACTTGTTGTCAAAATGTGTGTATTTCAATCAAAGAGCAAAGATGTTGACCTTTTTCATTTAGTTGCCAATAAAATGTTTTTGTGCAAATTGTGTGTTTGTGTTATGAACAAATGAAACATACTTTCTATTTTTGGCATTTTGCTATATTTTGGACAGTGACAGTACAGAGTGATGGGAAGGGAAAACATGCAGCAAGGGCCTGGGGCCGTATTTGAAACTGTGTTTAAGGTCTCAGCCTTCATATGTGGCACATGCTCTATTTGGTGAGCTACCAGGTGCCACCCAGAACTGGTATGTTGTAATTATGTTGACGCAAACATACAAGAAATTTGATTCCCAGAAGCACTCACTTCCCAGAAGTGTTTACACTCATTGTACAAATAACAAATGTACAGGAAGGAAACCAACATAGACTGCTAAACAGCAACATCTACTCTAGACAAAGGTGAACCTTAAACTGTTATGTGCAATAAGTAGGTATAAACACTTACAATGAGCCTCTTATATCTACAGACACTGATGTTCCATGTTGAACTGCCATGTTTCTACAGTAGCCCATAACGTTACCATAGTTTCTCCGTTTCACTTGGAAGGGGAGGGTGAAGTGAGGGAGTTGCTATCTACTGCTACACTGCTATATGCCACTAAATTTTACACACTGGACTGGATAAATTGTATACTTTATACACCTTGGTCAGGTTAGTAGCTTTACCGTGCAAGTAATGTGGAAGGCAGGTATAATAACATGGCTGACTTTTTGTATAATAAGTGATATGTGCATCTATTGCACAGCATGCTGTATTTGTTACACTATGACACTATTTTATATCTAACAAAAACACTGTTGTTTTGACATTGGTCATTTAAGGGTTGTTTCACATAAACTGTAATGAGATATCACATGACTGGTCTCACTGTTTGAGACTGTGATGGCAATCTGGTTCTGGTGTCAGGGGTCTGCAATGATTTCCCTGGCTGTCTCCTTACCTGGGATGTGTAGATGTTCTGGAACTGCACAAACGGGTCAGTATCAACGAAGTGCTGACTGTCCGTCGCAGCCTGCCTTCGTCTCTTTCGGTGCCCTATCCAAACCAGACTCTGATGGATGAGTAGAGAACAGACTTTTTGGTTATTTATCATGCAGGTACACTGAAAAATGCTGTACACTCTTAATTAATCAAGAATCAAGCTTATCAAGCATTATCAAATTTAAAATCAAATATGTAATACACACACAACACATCGTTTCAAGTACTGTGACGCACACAAAATACCACAGAAACCTTACTCAATGTGAAAGTCAAAAACATCACAGCACACAGAGCAATGAGCAAATTGAGCTAATATAAATTAAGCACTCAAAGATATATTATTACATAATATTTACTATATTTTATTCTATATACTATACTATAATTCACAGTACTTTTACTCTAATAGATAATGGATCTGAGAAAAAAGGCCACAATACCTGTAGGCATTATAGCAAACGTAATAATAATAATGATATTTATTAAATCTTTTCTCTTTTCAGCCAAAAATAAAGATATTTAAAGATAGAATATTTAAGATGCAAACTAGAAAAACATAATCATTACACATAAACAGTTAAAAAGTACAGATGGCTTGTGCATTTGTGTCTGGAGTTTAATAGGAGTGTGGTAGATGATGGTGATATTGTGATATTATTGCCTTTCTGTTTCAGGAGTGTGTTTGGTTTTACTTGAAACTGTGAGGCGACCATGCCACCATAACCACCACATCCTGAATGCTCAGTTGAGCATGTGTTCGTGTGTGTGTGAGTGCATGTTTGTGGTTGCCTATTTCAGAAGCAGAGTATTATTTAGACGGTTTCCTCTCTTCTAAGAAAATTAAACACGATGTGACAAAAACCTGTTATGTAATACTGAACATGTATGCATACCTACATACAAGTCACTAATCAAAATGTTTGTATTATTGATAAATTATTATTTAGAATTTTAAAAGGTGCCACTTGAATCTACAGATAACTATAACTGGACGCTCCAGTTTTCATTGATTCAGTGGAGCATTTTTCAGCTCATTGTTTTGAATTTACAGCCAATATCTTTAATGTTTTGGTTCCCTCTCACTGTTTTCATCTACCCAGCCACATCGGGCATCTGTATTTTTCAGGAGTTTGTTTAGACCCAAACTGAGCTAAATATTACACTGATGTTCATCAGGTGGTCAGAAACACAATAATGTTGCTCTTTGTTTACCTGTTTAGCATATTAACTTTATGAGGTGATAATATGTCAATGCAGTGTTCATGGCTTGTTTTGATGCCCCAAAGATGCCAAAAATAATCAATTAATGGAGGAGATTTAGTGCAATTAATGCAAAGAAAAACCTTCCATGGAATCTGCCATGTGTGACCACCATGTTTCTACAGTAGCCTGAAAGGGACAAACCAAATGCTGGCACTAAATGGGGGCTTAATTGGAAGGGGAGGGTGAAGTGAGCGACTTGCGATCTCCAACTCTGAACGTGGGAAATTGTGACTCAAAAGGGTCAGTTCAGGGCGCCCGGTTAGCTCAGTGGGTAAAGCTGGCGACCCATGTACCGAGACTTTCTGTGTGTGTTGTACATGCGTGTTTATTGGAGAGGTGTTTTGTGGTTAACACATCAGGAGGAAAGTGCAGTTCCTCAGACAGAACATCAGACATCAGGCATAGGAAGATATTCATTGTCTTACCACCACAGCTAGACATACACACCTACACCCCTCACCCCCACCCCCAACCTCCCCACAAACACACACGCACACACACATACATAGCATATGTGAATATTTCCACCCCTTATGTCCCGTGTGTATGAATAATACTCCGTAGCTGTTGTGACTGCAGCCATGTGAAGTACATGTAGATGGCAGAAACAAAGCAGAACTGAACAATCCTTTCCAAACACTGATAGTTTCCAAATCAACAGATGTTGGACTTTCATCTCAATATACAACTGTATACAGTGCTGTATGATTGAATGACACAATCATGGCCCTATGTTGACACTATACATAGCCTTGTCGAGACCAGAGCTCAAGTGTTAACACCCGTAGGTTATATCACCCTCAAGCACATGTGCAATAGTATAGCACTTGTATTTAATCACAGCCTAAGTTGTAACTTACTTTTGCATTCATATGTTCAGCCGCTCAGTCATATTAGTGGCAACAATGGTGGGCCATTAGTTTAGATGAGGGGTGGGGAAAACCCATTGCACTGTGGTTCGAGAAAACGTTGCACCAACCTCAAACTATCTCCACTCTCAGCCCCTGAAACCTCCCCCAGCTGTTGCACATTCACCGAGCTGTACTTTCTCTTTCCGCCCACGCATAGTAAACAACAGTTTGTTTCATACCTTTTTTTTTTTTTTATCACACATCATTGTGTTAGCTATACCAAATGATGGAAACATCTCAACTAAAAGCCCCAAAGCTTCCACATGGTCAGTGTGAAGCCCACCATATCTTACCATCATAGTGAGGGCAGATGGAACATGGCAGTCACCAGAAAAGTGAAAATTACTAAGCACTGTGAGTAACTCACCCATGATCTTGAAGATGAGGTTAGAGTAGACTTTTGATTAAAGTTAATTTTGTGTTGGGGTTGACATTTTATTTAGAGGCTTTAAGTATGTTTCACGAGAGTGCCATTTAAAGGTTGTGTGTGGTTAGAGAGCAGCTCTGAGAGCACTGAGTGTCAAAGATTTGACTTAACAGCTGGTGAGACTGTTCAACAATGTGTCAGAAAGTAAAAAAAAAAACACATATATCCAACATCATTTACTTAAGTACTGTATATACTGTACATCAGCTTTATGTACTGGGATTCACATAAACACCTTGTAATGCAACACCATAAACTGCATTTACATAAACATTACCACAGAGTTCAGTACACATTCTCAGTACAAGTCAACATTATAAGCTTTATAAAGGAAATGCTTCATATATTGTATATAATCAACATTTAACATTAAAGACATGGGTTTACAGCATTTCACAGAGGACATGGAGACACGTTTTGAAACGATCAGGCATTATTACATTAAAGACGTGGAGCAGGGGAAGAGCAAACCACACTGCACTTCTTCTATTGTTGGTATGACCTCTAAAAGAATATTGTTCTGGGCAGCGGTGGAATATAACACTTACATAGTACAGTGATGTAGTGCATTTGCTCAAGTACTAAATGTAAGTACAAATATAACATTTTACATACAAAAACATGGACTTATATATGACGCAATGTTATTAAATTAAATTTATATAAAAAATAATATATATATATATATTATAATATATATATTGTAAGTATTTAAAATAGTTACAATTAGCTTACTTGTGCTAATTAATAAACTAATAATTATTCAATAGTGTGACACTCACACGAGAATTCACACTTACAGGTACGTATTGGTGACAATACTCAAATACTTTTACTGATGTAATATTTTCAAAGCAGCAATTTTAGGAGTATTTTTACAGTCTGGTAATACTTTTTGCTGTAGTAAAGGCTCTGAATACTTCCTTCACCACTGGCTCTGTGCTCACTTTCTTATAATCCTACTGGAATTTTTTGGACCCTCTGCAAGAATCTCAAGAATCTCAAGAATCTCTGCCATCTTTAACCCAACTAAGAGTACGCTGCTCATAGACACAACTACGTTACCATGGTAAATATCTCTGTTTTGCAGTCTTTCTGTGGAAATGCAATACATAATGAAATGAGATAAGGACATGAGAAGAGAGTATTTCTAGACGCTGAGATACAGATTGTTTCTATTTTCTATGCACGCACTTAGACAACTCAGAATCTATAAAAAACAATATATATATTATATATAATATAAATATATATATAGAGAGAGATAGACAGATAGATACACACACTGCACCTTTAAAGGAGTATTGTGACTATTTTTATTAATGTCAGTATCATTGTACAATGAAAATAACACATTATTCAAATATTTACATTCATACAAAATATCAAATAAACATTATTGAATTGTACATAAAATAGGCAAATGTGTATCATTTAAGTTCACTAAAA